CAAACTTTTGAACACTGAATTTTATTCCATTTATTCTAGTCTGCAAGCCTCATGTATCCACTTTGAAATTTTGTGTCAAACGGCTCCCCAAATAATTGTCAAGTGGATGTTTCCACTAAGGATAATCTTTGCTTTCCATAGTTTCCATTTGCCTGACTGAATTTCAGTTAGCATCGTTTAAATAACACCAGTCCCCCAACAACATGGCTGAAGCTTCAATTAGCAGCCTAGTAACTGTGAGTAACTGCATTAAGTACAAACTTTGCTGCTAGCTCCCCAGTCCACGAATCACTAAATAGATAGATGAGCATCGTAACCAGTGGCCAATCACTTCACATCTGTTGGTGATGGGTCATTGCACATTTGTTAGTCACATACAGACAGCAAAGCTTATAGTAGTGTTGCCTCCTTGTCTGCCAGTAGTAAACCCATGTGATATTCTCATTATTTTCTTTTTAACATTTTATTTATTTGAGAGAGAGAGAAAGAGAGCATGAGAGAGACAGCACGGCAGGGGGAAGGGAGATGCAGTGGGAGAGGGAGATGCAGACTCTGGGTCGAGCAGGGAGCCCGATGCAGGGCTCAATCCTAGGACCCTGTGATCATGACCTGAGCCAAAGGCAGACACTTAACTGAGCCACCCAGGCACCCCAACCCATGTGACATTCTATAAAAATAGCCAATAAATTAGCCAACAAAGATCAAAGCAATCAAAGCACAACGAAGAAATGAAAACTGAAAGTGCAGCAAAGAAACAAAAACTAGTAACACTGAAGTGAAATGTGAATCAAATATAAGTAGTTATAGAAGAAATACCCGACCATAAAGTGTTGGAGACTCTAGATGAGCAGCCACATGAACTTTGTGAATGTGAGCTTATGGATGTATATGAGGGAAGTAATTTAAGAAAAGGATGATGAGAAAAAGGAAACATTGTTCCAACTACTCTTGACAAATTTTTTAAAATAAAACACTCTAATTCTTAATGTCTCATGTTTAATTTCGAGTACTAAGCAAATACTATTTTACAATTTTTTTTTCATTTTCCTATACACTTGTAACCACAGGAAGAGTTTTTAATGTCTGAGCAAACATTTTCAAAGGTCACAGAGTAATAATTTTTCTTATTTAATAAAACTGCTTTGGGGGCACCTGGGTGGCTCAGTTGGTTAAGCATCTGACTTTGGCTCAGGTCATGATCTCGGGGTCCTGGGATCAAGTCCCATCAGGTTCTGTGCTCAGCAGGGAGTCTGCTTGTCCCTCTCTCTCTGCCCACCCCCCCACTCATGCTCTCTTGGTCTCTCTCTCAAAAAAATAAAATCTTTAAAAAAAATGCCTTGAACAGTTTCAGTTTGAATCGTCATTTTTACCACTCTGTAGTACTGTACAAAGGGATGACTGCCTGTATAATAAGGCTGTATTATTTAATCATATTGTCAAGAGCAAACGTGTATGTAGCAAAAGGGTATGTAGGTTCCTAAGGGACACAGAAAACTCTATCAGGCCAGGTAATAAAGTCTCAAGAGGGAAATGTACTAGACTACTGCAATTTGGCTCTCCTACTGTTTAGTTCCCAGATTGTATGTTATGATCTACACATGTAGATCTTTTCTGTTACTACTCCCAAATTCTGCTCATTAATCTTGAAGATGGGGAAAACAAACTCATGTTGTCCAACCTTTTCATAGAAGGGATGGGGAAAACAAGGCTTAAGAGATCCAGTGGCATGCCTATCATGCCACAGTAATCTATCAGGGGCTGGCAGGGGAATTAAAACACTGCTAATCTAGTTCTTGTTCCCATATATACAATGCTACCCACTTCTGAAGAGAGTAATTAGTAAGTTTTATTTTGGTTTCATTTTTCAACCATATGGCTTACACAGACCCACTATCAAAGAAAAAATACTCCATTTTTTCCTGAGCTTCTCATTACTTAAAGATATTTTACAATCATCTACATTCAAAGACTAGAACACCACTGTAACACTAGTGTAACTTAAGTGATACGAAATTTTAAAATGTTTCACATTACAATGTATCCCAGATGGGATCCTGAGACAGAAAATCTACATTAGGTACTCTAATGTACAATCTTTATGTACTATCTTCACAACTTCTCTGTAAAACTGTTCTAAAATTTAAAATTTATTTTTTTTAAAGTACTGCACATACTTTTTTTTATCTACGTCTTTTCTTAGTGCTGGGATCTAATTAAATTTTTGAATCAAAGTTACTAAATGAACTAATAAATTTATATTCCTTAAAGTAGTGTTTAAGCTATGTCCTATGAAATCCTCTTGAGCCCCCCAAGGTGACTCTGCCTCTTGGAAAAGAGGAACCTAGCCAGTGGGTCTCCACCACAGCCCAATTTCCATTCATAAGAGTCTAACAGTCTGAAACAAAGATTCTGCTAGAAAGAAAAGTGTGAAAGTCACTCTCAAGCATAAAAAGGAGTAAGATTCATGTTTGAGGAATATTCCAAATTCACAGTTCCTCATAACAGAAAGAACATTAAACTGAGGACAAAAAAAAAACCCAAATTCTAATCTTGACTCCATCACTATGTACAATCTTGTATTTCTTTAGGCCTCAGTTTTCTCATCTGCAAAATAAGAGGACCAACAGTTCCCATTCTAATTAGAATTTTTTCTCCCCAATTTTTCTTCTAGTAAAAGGAAGGGTAATGCACCTTTAGATAATGCACATTAAAATATAATTCCTGGGGAACCTCGGTGGCTCAGTTGTTAAGTGTCAGCCTTAGGCTCAGGTCATGATCCCAGGGTTCTGGGATTGAGCCCCACATCGGGCTCCCTGCTCAGCGGGAAGCCTGCTTCTCCCTCTCCCACTCCCCCTGCTTGTGTTCCCTCCCTCGCTCTCTCTGACAAATAAATAAAATCTTTAAAAAATAAAAAATAAATAAAATTCCTTAGAAAAGATCAAAAAATATTTGTCAGGTTTCTCTTCTTTTTGTCCTATCAAATAACTATTTTTATCCAAGATTACTTTGTCTATGTACATTTTTAAATGATTCTCTTTTTTACAAAGTTTTCTTTTTTTTTTTATAATCTCTTCACCCAAAATGGGGCTCAAACCCAAGACCCCGAGATCAAAACCATGTTCCTCAGACTGAGCCAGCCAGGCACCCCAAAACATGTACATTATTACATCCATCTAGCTCATCTCATTTTAATAAATTTCAAGTTACATCATTTATTTCACATATACACATACTGTTTCCCTTCCATGCCACCAAGAAGCAAAGAATAAAAAAATATAACAAAGTATAATTTAAAAAGTCCAAAGCTGCTTCTGCACTCATATCCCTCTCAGTTCAATACTGTCAATAATGTAAAGCACATAAACTGAGTAGAATAATTCTGAAATTTACCAGGGGAAGTTTTTAGTAATAGTTTCAAAATGAATTTCAGTGGTTTAAGAAAGCTCAAATGCCTAAATAACATCCTTAATAATTATGCTAAGGCTTCAAATTTCATAAATCTAAAAACAGAGTGAAAATATAACAATTGTGATGCTGAAATATAAACTAGAAAACACAAGCATCCGATGTATGCATAAGGAAATATAACAATAATCAGCAACATCTTTATAATTTATATTTGACTTCCTTAAAAATGACTAAAAGTAGTTAACAAAAAGTATCTGCCATTAATATCATCTAATATTTGGTCTTTTCAAAGTATTTCCACACTTTCTCATACGTATAATGTTAAGGAAAAAATCATGTTTAAATAAACAATGCAATCCACAAAATTACTAATAACTATCAAATGACTACAACTCATAACTATCAAAACTAAATTTTCAAGAACCCATAGGTACTAAGCACAGTTCTTAAAAAGATACGGCCCATTCATAAGCACACAGGATTTCAAATAGCAAGTCTTAACAGTAAAACCTCATTTCTGAAATAATCCTTGTTTTACTAGTTCGCTCTGACCTCAAGTATATTTCTCAGCGCTAAAACTGTTAAAGATCTCATCACCTATGACATCTGTAAATAAAGATGAGACTTAAAAGACACAATTTTTCATTAAAATATATGTTGAATGTATTCTGAGGTGTTCCAGTAACATACACTGCAACCTTCCATTTTTCAGCACAATATAGATTTAAAAATTCGTTTTCATGCAATGATGGCATGAATTATTAAATCACACTATTCTATAACCTGGTTTCAATAATGACTAGGAAAAATGAAAGATCAAACATATGTTTAAGTAGTAAAACCTAACATTTTCATTTTAACATTTTTTAAAATGGTCAAGCTTCGAAAATCTCAGCGTCAATATTTAATTTCAAAGTCTGTGCTCATAGGAAACCACTTTACTCAGTACGAGAGAAGAGTTGAACAGCTTGAGAAACCACTTCTTCAATTAGCTTTTCCTTGCTCTATGCTTTTATTTTACTTGCACTACAGTTTTGCATTTAAATGAATAAAAAGACAACACGTATTCAGTCAGGTAGGAATGGTCATCCTTTCTCCGTTATTACAAAGATTAACAGTTCTCCTCAGTCCTCTCTTCCTCCACCCATATAAAAGCAAGCCCAAGGGAACGCAAGCCCCACTCCATCCATGACGCCCCTCAACCCTGAAACCCTTCCTGGCCTGAGGTTGACACCGCCCACCTTGGGCCTCCTCTCCTCCCTCCCACACCGTCTTCCGCTCAGCAATCGGACCCGAACCCGCCAGACCCCGCGAGTGCGCCCGCGCCAGAGCCACCCCGCCCCCAGCCTGAGGACGCGCGGCCGACGCGCAAGCACGACCCACCGCCCCCGACGGCCGCCCCAAGCCCTGGGCGCCGGCGCCCGGCCCGCCCGGCCCCTCCCCGCTCCCGGGCTTCGCTCCACGGGGAGCCCGGTGTCCGAGAAGGCGCACTCCAGATTCTCCCACACAGTCAGTGCCCGGCCGCCAGCAGCAGGTGGAGGGGCAAAGCCGGGTTGGAGTGGGAAAGCAGGCAGCCCAACCAGGGAACCGACCTGTGGAGACCGCCATCTTCTCCTGCAGCCCGACGCAGCCGCCTGCACGCACAGCGACGTCAGTGCCACTTCCGGAAGCGCGCCGCTTCGGCCCCCGCCCTGCGGCGTCCCGGCGCGCGTCACCATGGGCTCCTCCCCCGGCGGCTTTCGCTCAGGTCACCTAGACCAAGGGTATGCAGGGCCTCGGGGCTGTTTGGGCGGCTTCCTAAGCTACTACAGTTGATGGAAAGTAAAAGTCGAAAAGTCATTGGGACATCACGTTGAGTCAGTCATCCTAATGTAGAGCAAAAAGGCAAAGAGAAAATATTTGTTAAAAGGCATGTGCAATGGAGCGGAGGGGAAAATTTTCTTTTAATTTTTTTTTTTTAATTTTTTAAAAAAGGCATGTGCAGTGCGGCTGCAATCCCTAATACGGCAACCACGTGTATTATGAGCTCGTGCCTGGAGATGTGCTGTAAGGGAGACAGCGCAGGTTTGCAAAACCCTAACTGTTTAACAATTCATGTTAAGAACATCTCGTTAAGAATGTTTCATGTTGATTAAATATGGAAATAATATTTTGATATATTGAATTAAAAGAAGCATATTATTAAAAGTCAAAACAAAATAGGGCATTGACAATTCTGTGTTGAAAAATGATTCAAAGGCATTCAACAGAAAATTTAAAGAGCCCCTTAGAATTAAATGAATTTATTGCATTCATATTTTACTTTTGAGATATGCATGATAGTGAAACACTAAAATCTATGTCTAAGTCGGAAAGTTCTTTCAAAAACGTCTAAAATAAAATTTCTCAGTAATTAGGAAGCATGTCATTCAAAAAGCAAAGATTTTACATCCTTAGTTTTCACTATAGTGACACAGAAATGTTGCCATCTGGTATTATGTAACTATCATGGCTCTTAATACCATCCTCACAAATATAATTAGCAATATTTGATACTACCATCCCCATTTTATAAGAAATGAAACTAAACCCCAAAGAACTGAAATGATTTTCCTAACAGCGTGAATCTACCAGTACTTACAAAAGAGATGGAATTCGGACAAAATTCTCATTCCCAAGTTAATGCTCTTTTCATTCCCAGTTGCCCTTACAATGCTGGTCCTGATTGTAGATGCTGATGCTGCTATAGTAGTATTCAGGAGTCTGAAGTTTTTACTTTTAGTGGTTCTTAGTTCTTTCCATCCCACATACTTATTTACCCCATCTTTTTTTTTTTTAAGATTTTATTTATTTATTTGACAGAGTGAGAAAGCACAAGCAGGGGTATCGGTGGAGGGAGAAGGAGAAGCAGGCTTCCCACTGAGCAGGGAGCCCGATGGGGGACTCGATCCCAGGACCCTGGGATCATGACCTGAGCCAAAGGCAGACGTTTAACTGACTGAGCCACCCAGGCACCCCTACCCCATCTCTTAACCTGTGTCTGAAGCTTTGGGAAAGAAAGGCCCTATTCTTAATCTCTGAACTTGGAGCGCCAGCTGCTTTTTCTTTGTAGTCAGTCCCATCTCTGTCCCATAATGTGAAGTGACGCTATACAGCATTCTTCTAATGTTTGTTTCACTCTTTGTGGTAGGCAGACCTCTGAGATGGCTCCCAATGATCCCCTCCTGGTGTCCATGCCCTTGTTTTTTATAATTCCCTTGCCTTTTATGGGGGCTGAGTTTACTAACTAGCTTTCAGTGAATAAAGTAAAACAGGAGTGCTGGGATATCACTTTTGAGATTATGTTTTAGAAAGACTAGATTCCATCTACAGCACTCTCTCTTGCTCTCTTGCTTCCCCCGAGGGTCACCAGCTGCCATATGGAAAGCTACCCTAGAGAGAAGCCCAGGTGGCAAGGAACTGATATCAGCTTCTGGCCAACAGCATTGGAGGAAGTAAGGCCCTCAGTTCAACAGCCATGAAGAACTAAATCCTGTCAACAAACATAAGGGTGAGCTTGAAAGCATACCCTGCCCTAGTCAAGTCTTCAGATGACACTGCAGTCCTGGCCATCACCTAATTGCCTAGGACCCAGCTAAGGCATGCCCAGATTCCTGACCCACAGAAAATAAGATAATACATGTTTGCTGTTTTAAGCCGCTAAGTTTTGGGATAATTTGTTATGCAGCAATAAGAAACGAATACATTCTTCCTGCTTACTGTTACTTTGTGTTAACTATTCTTACAAACATTGTTCGAGTAACCATTATCATACATTTTTCACAAAGGTCCACTTACATTTGGATGTTGATGAACTTCTACTGACATATATTTACCATCTTATTAGGGCAGACTGATGGATAATGGCATTTAATAGCTTAAATCCTCTCCTCCCCACAACAGAATCAAAATTATCAACTAGCAAAACATTGACCAAATTCAATTCTACTTTACCAGTTGTAAATATTTTCTCAGGAAATGCTTGAATCTTAAAAACAAAATACACAGGGACACCTGAGTGGCTCAGTCAGTTAAACATCTGCCTTCAGTTCAGGTCATGATCCCAGGGTCCTGGGATCAAGTGCGGCATCTCCCTCTGCCTGCCACTCCCCCTGCTTGTGCCCTCGTGCACTCTCTCTCTCTCTCTCTCTGACAAATAAATAAATTAAATCTTTAAAAAAATAAAATAAAAAATAGACACCCTTTAAAAAAATACATAAATGTTGTCTTCACATTTTATAAACAAGACTGGCAAAGCCAATAGTAGTCCTACCATTTTCCTACCTATTGTTCTTTGAAGAGCAAATTACAGTCTATGGGAGGAAGCCAGATTTTGTGTAACTTGAAAACAAAAATGCTCAATTTTTGCTTATTCACAATAGTATGTAAAAGCAACAAGCCTCAGTGACAATGAGGAAAAACTAGGGGGAAAAGTTACTTCAAATTTTTTGGGAGTCGAAGAAACAGAAGAAAACAAAAAAGAAAATTGGGTGAAGGAAGAATAAAATCACAGAAATAAAAAAAAATTGACTAATCTAATACAACTTTGATCAATATGGAACTTAAATTGAAGAAAGAAGCAAATCAAAAGCTGTCTAGAGTGTTAGAAACAGTCAAAGAACACTGTGGAAGCAAAGTCTGGTATTTGTGGGGTATCAGCATGAGGCAAGGGACAGTGTGAAGGGCTCAAGAACCCGGGAGATTCAGAAAAGGCCAAGGTGAGCAATGGGTGTAGGTTCCCCCATCACCTTCCAGCACAGCTCCCTCAGCTCTTCAGTGTGCAATGAAGAAATGATGGATTTGGAATCAGAGAGATCTAAGTGCAACCACTTGTTCACCTTGTGACGTTAAAAAAGGCATTGAATCTCTTTAATCTTCAGTTTCCCACCAGTGAAATAGAAGTGATCTTAGGATTTATACTTAACACATATATTTTAAATGTAGTATCTGGCAATCAAATGTGCACAATAAATTGTTGCCATTCTTATGATGATTATACCATAAAAGAAAACTATTCTTTTTCCTAGTAGGCAAATAATTTTTATAGGCATTTTGTGTTTCCTTTGGCTCTGGCTGCGAAGAAACTCAAAACCAAATCTCTAGCACCTGTCTAGGAAATGTTCATGGTATATAATGTATGTTCCGACTTCACCTTTTCAATTCACTTTGTTTTCTCACTTATTCCATGTCACAATTTACACTTATTTGGTTCCTTATCTTGGTATTTGCTATACTGTACTGTAAACTACCACAAAGTCTCTTTTTTAGAAAGAAGTACAGTATTAATAAATGATAAATTAGCTATTTATTAGCTTTTGAGTTCTATATAACCACTGGATAACTGGTATATGTCATTTCCTAATCCCTTCTTGAGAAAAAATGCCCTATCATGTGCTTTAGTGGAAGAGACCCTAAGCTGTTCCTTGAACAAAAGTGGTCCAGCTGCAACAGTTAAACCACTTCCTGCCAGCTACAGCTAATATACCATTCCAGGGCACCCATTCTATTGACTGACTAGCAGCCTATGTGAAGGTCTGTCACAACAAACATGTTTGACCTTGGTCAAACATGAATATCTCTCCCCCCACCCTCTCTCTATCTATCTCTCCCTCATCTATCCAGGAAAATACAGAAAACAACTATGGATGGAAACAGAAAGAAAAGAATGACATACGAGAAGATGCAGAGACACAAAAAAGTCACAGAATCCCTTTAATGGCAACTTGAAGGCATTACGCAGACTAGGTCCTTAGATCCATGTTGGCTCCTTCTAGTTGCCAAAATAACTCTTCCTCTTCTTCCAACAGTAGAAGTACAACTCCCATGAAGTTCCTGCTTCCCTCATTGTCATTAATGTTTGTGCTGGACAGTCTAAGGCACTGCATGATCCTAGGATGTTCATGCCCTAGGATGTTCCCTTCCCCTTGAGGGTGAACAGGACTTGTGGCTTGTCTTTTTTTCTTTTCCAGCTTTATTATTATTGACAAATTAAAAACGTGTATATTTAACATAACGTGATGTTTTGATATATTTATACACTGTGAAATGATTCATAATCAAACTCACATAATTACCAATTTCTCAAGTGATGAGAACACTTAAGACTCACTCTCTTAGGGGTGCCTGGGTGGTTCAGTTGGTTAAGCATCTGACTTCGGCTCAGGTCATGATCCCAGGGTGCTGGAATCGAGCCCTGTGTCAGGCTCCCTGCTCATTGAGGAGTCTGCTTCTTCCCTCACCTTCTGACCCTCCCCCCATTTGTGTTTTCTCTCAAATAAATAAATAAAATCTTAAAAAGAAAGATTTACTCTCTTAGCAAATTTGAAGTATATAATACATTATTATTAACTATAGTCCCCGTGCTGTAAATTAGGTCTCCAGAACTTATTTGTCCTATTACTGGAAGTTTGTAACTTTTAATGAGTATCTCTGCACATCTCCTATATCCCAGCCCCTGGCAATCACCATTTACTCTCAGTTACCATAATATTTTTATTTAAGATTCCACATATAATTGAGACCATACAAAATGTTTTACTGTGTCTGGCTTATTTCACTTAACATAATATCCTCCAGGTTCATCAATAGCATTTACAAATAGTAGGATTTCCTTCTT